GGTATAGAACTCTGTGTGTGTGTGTGTGTGTGTGTGTGTGTGTGTGTGTGTGTGTGTGTGTGTGTGTGTATTGACACAGTTACCCATGTATATATCTATACATGTGCTTAAAGAAATTTTTGGAACAACATAGTTGAAAAAAGCTTATATAATGATTTCGGACACGGTAGAAAGTTTAAGTTAATGTAAACCAATACAGCTTGCCAAAACAAAACAAAACAAACAAACAGAAAACAGTATAGGAAGACTTTTAAAAACTTTATAGCAGACAGAGTTTTTCTTGACAAATAAAAAAAGCATGTTTTGAAAACAGCAGTTTTGGTCTATTTATTCAATCTGTAATAATACAAATTATTTAACTAAATGTGGGAGACATTTTGAGATTAACAAGTCTAAAGAGAAAACTTTAAATCTCTCAGTTCATCATTTGATGAGCTATGATAGGGGCAAAAATAAACTCAAGGATCTTAACATATAAAGTTAATTCTCTGACACTTAAATAATTAGCCTAAATAATAAACTTTCCTAATACCTTTGTCACCTGAGTGTGTAATTTAACATCTACTTTATAATAATTATTATAATGATGGTATCAACTGACTTAACGAATATAGAAACAGTTTAACATCTCTCTTAGAGTAGAAACATTATATTTCAAGCATAGCTGCTAGTATTTGTAAGTATATCTATGGTTACAAAATGAAATTTTAAAAAATTTTAATGAGGCAGTCTACACTGATTAGAAAATGTTTCAGGGGAAAGGAAGAGAGGTTATTACATTTTTGTGCAATTATGTTATCCTCTAAATAAATCATACTCATATAGTATTCAGATATTACGAGTAATATTTTCTAAGCAAGCAGATTCAAATTATAACTTTAAGCGAAAGAATACCACCTGAGGATATCCTTTAGAGATAACAGCAATTGAATGGGATATTGTCACAGAACAATGTGGAGGCTTTGCTTAATTAATTAAAAGGTAAAGTTAACACTTTACTGAAAATAAATGTTGTGGCAATGCCTACATTTATTTTCAAAATCAAAGTCATTTACTTTGTGACTATATTTTATTCCATTGACCTTCTATGCAATGTTATATGCTAAGTGATTAATGTAGACCTACTCTTCTAAAAGTGATGAGGACTTCAAAGTGAGCAAGAGTTTCTCAATTTTCTATCATTGAAAAAAGCTACATTTTAATGGCTTAGAGGAGTGAACTGTTTGGGTTTTCTGCAAGGTTTAAATGTGACAGATAGGAATAATGCTATTCCTATACACTGGTCAAAACTCTGCAAAGCAACCTTTATTTTTTCCTGCATACTTTGTGCCATTTAACTTCTTGTTTCCCTAATGCTTGTCACAAATGTTGATTATAAAGGCTGCAAGTCTATCCCATCACAAAAATACAAAGGTCCCAATTTCAAATATCAAAATATGAGAAAAAATAAAGCATACAAATTAATTTTAGTATATCACTGATACAGCCCAAAATGTTCTTTATAACAATACGAGATGTATAAATGACCTATAATTGCAAGTGTGAAAACCTTTGTTTACGCACCTCAGGGACTGAAACTCCTGAAGTGGGCAGAGTCTGCTGAAAAAAGAGAAGCTCATATTAAAGCTGAAAAAAAAAAAGTCATACTAAAAACAAGTACCAATGAAGGTTCTTATATCACTACACATGTGTGAAATAAATGAATATATTACAAATACATTTCCTTGTCATAATTTTTCTGCTTACTTTCATTAATAAACCAAAATCATTTCATGAAATAAGGAACACTCTAATGCAGAGGGGATTAGACTGTAGAATTACTTAACCAAAATACAATTTCATATACTTAAAGTAGACTGATCTTTGGCCAGCTTCAGAGACCTCTCTACAATAATATTGATGTATTACATTCATATTTTGGAATGAGAACTCATCTCCAAGTTCCATTATCCTTCATAAACCATTCTTACTAATTTTTTAAGTTGCCCATGTACACAGCCCACCATTTCACTTCCTAGTCCAACTTTCAACCCTTTCTACAAATACTCAGTGTCTTTTGATGTAGACACAGCTTATGGTGCTGATTTTATTTTGTGATACTCTGGAAATAAAAAATATATATTCCATTAATAGCAGTAAAAAATAAAAAGATAAATAAGTAGCAAAATTTTACTTGAGAGTAATTATTAAAAGATTACGTTAAATACACTAAAACCAGTCTTCATGACAGCATGTCTTCAATTACCCACCGCCCTTCCTTTTCTAAGTCACATTGGGAAAGTTTTTTTCTGGCAAGAAACAGAGAAAAGGTTACCAAATTCCAAAAGCCTGTGTCCTGTGGGACTTTATAGCATAAAACACAAATTTGGAAGAATAGGTGATAAATCACACTCAATACTAGATAAAGAATTTCCTTGGTTGTGGGGAGTAGGAAAGCTGGATGGGAAGCTAGTCCTTAGACATTGTGTGTCTCTAGAAAGAAGAGAGCAGTCAGTATATTTGAGTTTCCTCTCCTGGACCAAGCTATGTGTGTGAGACTCCCAAAATGAGAATGAAAGATCTGAGAGCACAGTTATTAGTTTACTGCCTTACCCAGTAGAACTCCAGGAAGGCAACAAAACACAAAAGAATAAATAGCTCCATGTGAGGCTTCATGGCTGCTTGTACAGAGATGGAGTAGAAGGATCCAATGTACCCAAAAGTGGAACAGTAGGAGAAGAAGTCTAGGGAAACCGTAGAGAAAATTAAAGTGTCCAGGAACACAACTCTATTTAGAATATATTTCCAGGGGCTTCCCTGGTGGCACAGTGGTTGAGAGTCCGCATGCTGATTCAGGGGACACGGGTTCGTGCCCCGGTCCGGGAAGATCCCACGTGCCGCGGAGCGGCTGCGCCCGTGAGCCATGGCCGCTGAGCCTGCGCGTCCGGAGCCTGTGCTCCGCAATGGGAGAGGCCGCAACAGTGAGAGGCCCGCGTACCACACACAAAAAAAACAAAACAAAACAAGAATATATTTCCATAATATAAGTAAAAAATACTGCTGCAGCAACAGATTTTTAGTAAAAATAAATCATGAAGTCTGGGAGGATGAACTCGAGTCAACTATCCCATTAACAGGAGAAGCCTATGAGGGCCATTGCTGTTGTTTCTCAGATGGATTGACAACAGGTTTGGTAGAACTTTCACTGAAAGCTTCCGATGTCAGTAATATTCTGGATTTCTGAGTCCAAGTCAGCCTATGTAACACCTGGGGCAATGGGTGGTGGGGAAAATGTTTGCGCTTGCTTCAGTTGGGACCAGCTCAAAGCATTTTGTCAGCCTTCTTTCTTTCTTATTTCTTGGTTGAAGCTTAGACCTTAATAAACATTTAAAGACATGAATATAGTCCTTCCATCTTTATCATAATATACAAATATTTGATCTCCTCAAATCCAGATTAAGTGCCTTATCCTATCCCATGCCATTGACCAGGGACTCTCAAGCAATCAAAGTAAGACGCCCATCAGGCAGTTTCTAGGGCATGAGTCTCAGATGCCTTCTATCTTGGGAAGCGTCAATGCTCACTGTGCATATGTCTGTAGAGCAAGTTAATAGAAAGCCAAATGAAAAGACTATAGTTACCAAATGATTCAGACTAACAACCAATTGCAGTGCAAGAACTTCAAATAGCGTAGCTCCTGTCCACCCCACCACTACCACCAAAAAAATAAAATAAATCAATAAAGGATATTTTTGAGCTAATTATAGGCATATGAATATAGACAGAATAACTACTGATATTATGGAATAGTTAATATTTTCAGGTGTGATAACAGTATTGTAAATGTATAGAAAATTGTTCTTATCTTAGAATGTGCCTGCCGATGTTGTGTCATACTATCTGCAATTTACTTTCAAAGAGTCCAACTTAATAAATTATATATTATGTGTATATTGTAAAAATGTATATATATGCATACATAGTCATATATATATATAAAGAATAATTGAAAAATAATAATTAGTTCATATAGGTTGGGGATATACTGTATTCACTGTATTTTGTTTGAGAATTTTTGTAATGAAATTTGGGAGAAAAACTGATCTCCCTTTCTAACTTTTTTATACAGCCTTTTATTCCTAAAAGAGGGCAAAAATGTTTCTACAATGAAATAAAATGTGTGTGTGTGTGTGTGTGTGTGTGTGTGTGTGTGTGTGTGTGTGTATTGGGTTGGCCAAAAACTTTGTTCGGGTTTTTCCGTAACATCTTATAAAGAAAATATAGGTAAGCATCTAGGTTGCTGGGAAAAAGAAGCAGAGAGAGACAGAGAGGGACCATTTGAAAATAAACGATAAAAGGGGTTCCTTAAAAAAATAATGTTTCAGATGAGGCAGAAGTTCATATAGTCAGGTATTAGCCTTTTCCAACTCTGTTCATTTTGAGGGAGTGTCTAATGATGGAAAAAGAGTTCTGAGTTTGTATTCACAGGGGTTTCAAGTGCAAAAATGTACAGGGGCCAAGAAGGTAATACAAATGGGCCCAATGCCACGAAAAGGCAAAGACTGTGCCAAGTTGGATAATAAAAATCCCACTTTAAGGCATCCACAGAAACACGATGGGATGAAATTGAAGCCTGGCTGCCATTTTGCTACCACTTTCATAAAGAATCTGTAATTTACAGATATTCATGTTTGCAGGCTTCGTTTTTCTCAGAGTAGTGGTGATGTGAGTTATCTACGGAGAGAGAGAGCGAAATTGGCAGAGGTAGCAAGATGAAGAAAGTAAGAAAATAGTAGAGATTTTGTCACTACTTCTCTGAGAATGGGAAAGCAGCTGATGAGTAACAGGATCAAGCGAAATTAAGGGCTCAGCTGGAACTAGAAGTAATAAATATGTAAAAGAGAAAGCCACCAGCTCTGAGAATTTCTCCAGTAATCCTCAGCCGTCTGAGAGCAACACTAGAAATTCATTCCAAGAATAAGTGGGATGAAAAGAACATATATATGAGCTCACTTTCAATCAAGATATGTAGGCAAAGAGTATACATTAAATTAACATGCTCATCAGTAGCCTAACCCTGAGTTACAATAAGAAAACCACGGCATCTGGGCAAAAGAAAAAGTAGCAAGTTGACAGAAAACAAATTCAGAAATTACGTACTTCTTTTTTATTCTACCATGTATAATTTTTAAATATCTAGGATGAACGGAGTAAATGTTTCAGTTTTTTGAAAATTATCACGTGTGTAATTCTAAATGTAATGTATTTTTAATCAGAATTAATACAGGAAGTGTGTATTTTTTTATTTAATCAAATGTGAGGTGTGACTACAGAGGAATGTGATTGATTTTATTTAATCAGTATCATTTTAATATTAAATAGAATACACAGTACAGATAATTAGTTTAAAAGATGCATTTGCCTTCAGGGCACTTATTAAGTTTAACCTAATATCAAGAATTTTTAAAAGTCCTATTATTCTTAAGTATTGAGATATCTCTTGTCTTCATATTTCCTAACATGTAATCATTTTAAATTGACAATTTAATTCAAATTGTCATAGGACAAAGAATAAAATCTTTGATGGAGAGATTATTAGAGGTTTGACTTAGTTTAACTATAATAAGAGTATAGTACTCACATTAAAAGGGTCATCAGTTATTTCAAGAAAAATGAACAGAATTATACCTTCTACCTATATAAGGATGTTCATATTTTTTAAAAATTGCTTTCACGTTTATGGTCTCATTTAATCCTCCCAATAAAACAAGAAATCCCATTTTCCAGATTGGAAAACTGAGAATCAGAAACTTTAGATGACTAGCCAAGAAAATTAAGTTAGTGGCAGAATCCAAATCTACTGCTTCCCTTTGCAGGCTTCATTTATTTAAAGAACAGCAGGGTTCAACAAGAATTTTTAAAAAATAGTTTCTTTTTAGCCATGTCTCATTTTTTAAGCGATTTGGAAATAAAATTAGTTTAAATGTTGATGGACACTCCAAATATTTAGAAACCACAAAGTATTACCAGTTCTGACAGGCTTGGATATCAGTATGGAGTAGCTGAATACAATAACTCCAGTGCCATGATAAACGTAAACTGGCCAAATAAAACTATTTAAAATAGCTTCTTTTCCTTATATAACTGGATATCCCTGGCGTTAAAAAAAGTAAGAGACAGAAAAGCAGGTTTGGGAAAAGAACAACTGTCTTCCTAAAATGGTGCACTGCCTCAGTCTAAGAGGGGAAGCTGCTCCTTCCTCACACATGATAATAAAATGTATCCAGGGCATCTCTAGGTATAGAAACTAAATACATATTTGGTTTCCATGAATTTTATTTTTACATTGAAGCTTCATAATTTCTTTAACCTTTTATGATTTCACACATCCTTAAGTGTGCACACCCACACATCTGAACACAATAAAAATTTTAAAAAGAAATGGATCAGAAGTGATTTTTATACTACTATTGCATTTATTAACATCTTTAATCAAAGGTTATTTCAGTGTATGACAAGTGTATCAATTAGAAGAAACACAAATTATTTTTTCTTTTCAACTGGTCCTTGACATAACTAATAAATATGTGCAGAGGAGGGTTGGATTGGGAGTTTGGGAC